GTGGCGTGGCTCCGAGGTTTCTCATAATCGACGATGGCTGGCAAAGCATCAATTTGGATGGGGAAAACCCCAATGAGGATGGCAAAAATCTCATTGTTGGTGGTAAACAAATGGCCGCAAGGATTTACAGGCTTGAAGGAGGTGCTAAGCTTAGGAAATACCGAGCTGGTCTTATGTCAGGCTCCAATGCTCCTCCTTTTGACCCAGAGAAGATTGAGAAGCTGTTGGCAAAAGGGGTCGAACTAAAGCGTTTGAAGACTCGCCTGGAGGCCATCCAACATGAGAGTGCCAATCTGTTGAAGATTGAATAAAGGATGAAGCAGTTGAAACAAGAAATCGCTGATCTTTTTGGGGAGGAGCCAAGTAAGGTTAGGAATAAAGACTGCGGAGGATCGTGCTGCGAAACAGAGGACTCTGGAATGAGGGCTTTCACCAGGGATTTGAGGACCAAATTCAAAGGCTCGGATGATATTTATGCATGGCACGCCCTTCGTGGTGCCTGGGGTGGTGTGAGACCGGGTAGTGCCAAGGCAAACTCTCGCCTGGGCTTGACGGCACAATGCACGATCTCGCTGTCGTCAACATTGTCCAAGGTTCAATCGGCCTTGTTCATCCTAATCAAGCTGACGACTTGTATGATTCCATGCATTCCTACCTTGCCAAGGGCGGCATTACTGGAGTGAAAGTGGATGTCATTCATGAGTTATCTTCACCGACTTGAGATCATTTACCTTTAGTTTCTGTTATATTTAACTATTCATTTCCCCCCTTTAAAATGCAGACACTTGAGTATTTGCGCGATGAATACTGAGGCAGAGTCGATCTCGCCAAGGGTCATTATAGCAGGTTGACAAATTCCATTGCGAAGAACTTCAATGCTAGTGGAGTCATCGCCAGCATACAACAGTGCAATGACTTCTTCCTTGGGACGAAGCAAATCACAATGGGAAGAGTTGGTGAGTATGAGCCGTCGTTACTGTTCACCCATAAATCAGTTTTCACTGTTTCAATTAAGGCTCTAACATAAAAATGATTTGAAACTTTTTAATTTTATTATCTTGAGAACTAATATTTTATAAAACATATTTTAAAAATAAAAAAATAAAAATACGTGTTTTTTATTTTTTTATTTTCTAGAACGATAATTTCAAAACACTTTAAAATTGTCTTATTTTTTTATTTTTTAAAATAATATTTTATTTTTTATATTCTCTAAAATATTTTTAAAAACACATTATTAAAAAAAATTTTATTTTTTTTATTTTTAAAAACAGAAAATTTTTCTTAAAACAGGTTGCAAAACAGGCCTGATCTCTCTCTATTTTTTGTTCTGGTGGTGCCACAGGCGAAGACTTCCAACCAGATGGCACTGTCCCCAAGTGCACACGCTTCCCTCTTCCAACCAGAGACTGCCTTTTCAAGAACCTTCTGCTTGACCAGAACACCCTTCTTAAGATTTGGAACCTCAACAATGTACCCTCCTGAGTCCTGACCCATACACACATTTTATCTACAATTTCACTAAAGCTGTACTGACAGTTTCCTTCTTGTACTTTTTTTTTTGGGCCAAAGTTTCCTTCTTGTACTTGAAACAGTACCGTGGGGTGATTGGTGTTTTCAACTGCCAAGGGGTTGGTTAGGACCCAAAGGCCGCTGCATAAGGAGTTCCCCTGTGTGCTACAAGTTAGTCTCAGGTTCAATTCATGTGTCAGAGGTTGAGTGGGACCAGAAGATGGAAGCAGCTCATATGGCCTATGGGTGAGGCGAAGGAGTATGTAGTGTACCAGAGTCAGGCTACGAAACTGCCTCTGATGTCACCCGAGGCCGAACCGGAGCCAGTTATCCTCATGCCTTCTGCGTTCGAGCTCTTCAGCTGTGTTGCGTTCCTGTGCGTAAGCCAGGTGTCGGCGTGAGATTCGCGCCCATTGGGCTTGCAACAACGCTGGAGGAGCTATTGAAGAATTGGAGTTTGTGGAGGACGGAGCTGAGAGCGTTGCCAGAGTTAGAGCTGAGAGCTCTGCCCTTAAGACTTAAAACCCAATTCTTTATTTTAAATTTTATTTTTTAAGCCTGACCTTTATGTGAAGGGCTGAGAGCCGGGCCCGTAAGCCCTTTTTTAAAAAAATAAAAATAATAAAAATTAAATTAAATATTATAAATTAATTAAAATATTCTAAAATTAAAAAAATAAAATTCTCATAATTTTTTGAAAATTAAACAACGCACATTTAGAAGTCTAGTAATAAAATTTAAATCTTGATTAAAAAATAATTCATTTTTTATAAATACACAAACATAATAATTATAGAAAAATAAAAAATATCAAGAATTTTATACTATACACTGATATTTATTAAATTATATCAAATCAATTTTAGAATAAATTAAAATTAATAATAATATAATGTGTGTAGGATCAGGTGAGCAGGTCATTGGCTTCAAACACATATTCCACCACAGAAAATAATAATAATAATAATAATATAATAGGGCTTGAGGGACTACTCAAGCTCGAGTCTTTTTTTACAGGGCTTATTAGGGCTAAGCCCTCAAGTTTGATTATTTAAAAAAAAATTATTTTTAAAACCCAAACCTTTATTTAAACAGGACCTTCAAGCCCGATCCTTCAGACTCGATTTTTATTCTCGACTCTAACCAAAGTGAAGGTGAAAGTAGGGAACTTGCTTGCATGCTCGTGTGAGATCCCTAAGAAGTGTCGACTGAACAGTGATGATGTCGCTTCCATGTGGCTGCCTGATGCCAGACTAACTCTTGACCTTCCCTGGAATGAACCCGCTGGAGGCATCTCTGATTTATCATTTTACTTATGGGATTACTATAATTTTTCCATATTGCCTCATTATCAGTTTGTCTTTTTTTTTTTCTTTTTAAAAAATGATATCTTCCATCACTTGCCGGGGCTGGAGATAGAGTTAGAAATACGGACGGACCCGACCCTTAAGGGCCTAAGTCCTAAAGCCCGATTTACTATTTTAAACCTCATTTCTTAAGCCCGGCCCTTATGTGAAGGGCTCAAGGCCGAGCCCGTAAGCCCTTTTTCAAAAAAAATAAAAATAATAAAAATAAAATTAAACATTATAAATTAATTAAAATATTCTAAAATTAAAAAAAATAAAATTCTCATAATTTTTTTAAAAATTAAACAACACACATTTAAAAATTTAGTAATAAAATTTAAATCTTGGTTAAAAAATAATTCATTTTTTATAAATACACAAACATAATAATTATAGAAAAATAAAAAATATCAGAAATTTTATACTATACATTGATATTTATTAAATTATATTAAATCAATTTTAAAATAAATTAAAATTAATAATAATATAATGTGTATAGAATCAGGTGAGCAAATCATTGGCTTCAAACACATGTTCCACCAAAAAAATAATAATAATATAACATGACTTAAAGGGCTACCCGAGCTCGAGCCCTTTTTTATAGGACTTCTCAAGGTCAAACTCTCAAGCCCGATTACTTAAAAAAAATTATTTTCAAAATCCGAACCCTTATTTAAATAGGGCCTCCAAGCCCGGCCCTTATTCTCAGCTCTAGCCGAAGACTATCCTCCTTATGGTACTCACCACCTATGGAAAATTTGCACCGTCCCATTTTAATTTAAACTGTTGGAATTTAAAGTTTTAAATTTACAATTTTAAAATAATAAATTTATTTTTTAAACAGAATAACGGTTAAGAAATTATCTTTGCTTTTTACCATACACTTATGAAAATAAATATTTACTAATATTCAATATTAAATACGGACGATTCATATTAATACTTGTTAGTGTCATCATTTTATGATGAGCAATGTTTAATTTTAGGCAAAATGATGGCTAAACCCTCAAAAAATTAATGACAGTTAACCCTCAATATTTTTTTTAAAATAAATTTTAAATATTAATTCCAATAATTATAAATTTAAAACTTTCAATTTAAAAACATTTAAATTTTAAATATAAATATTGATTTATAATTAAAATTTTTATTTATAACTCGATTCATTAAATTTTCACGTTGAATGGCAATTGAAAAGTTGAAGTTGCTATCTTATGACTGTATATGTTGAGAAAGTCAAAAAAAAACATTGAACGCACGGAATCTCGTATTACATGACGTAGAACGCATGGAATCTTGTATTACAGGACATGATTGACAGCAGGATCTCTTCCCAATTTACAGCCTAAGGATGTTAAAGAAGAAGCTTATATATTATATATTAATATAATTTAAATATTTAAAAATTTAAAATTCAAAATAGCAGGCTTCACATCCAAGCCAATAATTTGAATCACTTGCCTTAAAGACGTTCAATGAACAAAATCCGCTTAAAATATATAATATCTAAAATATATCCATCTATTATTTATAAATTTATTAATTATTAATCTGCGCCTGACTATCTGTTAATCTATATCAATCTATATCTACATGTAAAATTCTTGTAGAGATTGAATTTTTATTTCAATTTTTTAACAGTAAAACGTTTAATATGAATCACAAGTCCGAAGAAGTCTTTATAACTTATTTCATTTAATAACTTTTTAAAAAACTAAATATATTAATAATGAATTGTTATATAAAAATGAAAATAAAATAAAATAAATAAAACTGATGAAGATATCAAAAGAATAAAACAATATCAGAATCCGGAAAACAAAACCACCGGATATAGTGGAAACTTGGCGGTTGAGATCTATTTAACGTATCTAAATAGTTAATTATTTTTCAAAGTATATCCTGGCAAAAAAAAAGAAAAGAAAAGAAAAGAGAAAATGAAGCATATCAGTTTTCCTCCCATTATCCCTACGAGCTGATTTTTCAGCTCAGGATTTAAAATTTTGTTTTTTTAAATGGGATTCAAGAATTTGTCAGTTTAAGTTATCTCAAGAACTCTTCCCAAATCCTATCTTTTATCTATCGAATTATTTATTCATTTGTCAAAACACTCCAAATATAAGTCAAGTTGAAGTTGCGATGGCTGGTTCACAAATTCCAGCGGTCAACGTCGCTGGAAACGAGGACATGGCAAGCAGCAAAAGATTTGGAGAAATAGAAGAAGAAATAGATGACATGGAGAGGGCTTTCCAGAAGTTCGAGAACTTTGAAATCCTCGACCACGCCCCATCGGATCACTCTTTCCTTTCCAACAGAATTTTGAACAAGTTGGGCGCCAGAAGAAGCGCTCTGATCCAGAGTATGAAGCTAGAATGGGAGGATTTGAAGCTGTGTCTCGCCAAGTCATCCATTTACGTGAGAGCATACAAGCAGAGGCCTGATCTCATGCGAGCCGTTCTGGTAGGCCCTGAGGGAACCCCTTATCACCACGCTTTGTTCTGCTTTGACATTCGCTTCCCTTCTACTTATCCCACTCAACCCCCTGACTTGTTCTATCGCTCTTATGACCATCCTTCCAATCCCACCTCCCACACTAAGGGAAACTTAAAGGGTTTCTTGAACCTCAAAATTAAATCTTGTTCCACTCCAATAACAGTATTGCAGTTGCTTACTCTCATCCAACACTCCTTCCTTACTAACAAACCCAATAAGACTCTGCGTCTTCCTGGAGGAGGACCTAACACGAGAGTAATGAAACAGACCTGTGAGGCTATGCTTTGCATGTTGAAGTCACCGCCTCAGGATTTTGAAGTGTTTGTCCAAGGATACTTTCGAACCAGGGCACATCAGATTCTCATGAACTTCAAATTCCGTATAGGTCTTGATGAAACAACCATGGGACTGTTCTCCAGACTCGTTAGAGCATTTGAAGCCAATGGAACTTATTGTCAACATCACTATAATAAGGATTCTTTTGACCTAGCGCTTGTCAAAGAGATGCGTCCTCGGCAGAAATCTGCCAACCCTATCAGGAAACTGTCAACTATATTGCAGGCTACGTTTTTATGAGTTTAGTTCAAGTGTATGATCTCTTCCAGTCGTTTTTTCTTCTTGAACAAGATGTGCTGGGTTTTCCAGCATCCTATGTAGTCTAAAAAATAAGTCATGCCCTAAAGTTTTTTTTTTTGTCATTATTAATCCCGGTGACTCTATGAGCGATAAAGAAGGGAGATTAATTTGGTTCCTTATATGGGTCTGTCATGCTCATTCTTATCATTGAACTTCCCACAGAAAGATATCTTTAAGTCTAGTTTGTTCGGTTGATTCTTTTGAGTCAAGGTATATCATTCAGAACAATGTTCTACTGAGGCCTAACAACTAAACTCTAGTTCACACACTAATAAAGTATTCAATATATTATATAAAATATACAGAAAAAAATGGGTATATTTGAAAGGTTAATTGAACGCATCACTGAGAAAAGTTAATTTGTCTCTCTAACCACTCCATGAATATATGGCAGCATTATATTTTCTATATCGAATTACACCATGGTGTATCCGTGTTGAATCCTTGGAAATTACAGTTTTACTGTCACCAGACGCATTAAATTATCTACGGAAAGTCCTTCAAATGTAAGTGATAACTAACTGGCAAGTACATTATAAAATTCTCCCAAGATGAGGATAGTCGCTTCACCATGTTAAAAGTATATCTTTACTTAACTACAAACAAATATTTGAAAAATAAGAAGGATCTGAAGGCGCCATACCGCAATAGATGAACAGAGTTGGTTATCAACTCTCAAGTCAAGAGTGAGCTCCATTTCCGCACGCAGAGCCGCAAGTTTATCCGCTTTGAATTGAAATCTGAAACCAAATACAACAAACTAGCCGTTTTCTTCTTACACACACACCTATATTTTCAGTGGAAAGTTGGGGGATGAGAGATAAAAGGCAAAAGGCAAGTTTGTGCGTGAATCTAACATGGAAAACTTCGGCAGAGTTTGAGCAATTCCCCAACAAAAAAAAGAAAAGAAAAGAATTAAGGCCGTCAAAGTCTCAGAGTAGATTCACGCACAAACCTGCAATCGGCCTTCCCTCTAGGGTTAGCAAGTGCAGTACCAAGATGAGGACGGGGATTCGAGAACGAATGGGATTATATAGAAAAAACCAAGACTCGAAGGTTAATCTTGAGTGGCGGCCATGAGGACGCGTTTAGAAGCGCCAGATTGCCGAGGCCTCTTGATGGTGGGGTCAAGCTCAGTGACGGCATCTTCTTACACCCGAAACCAGCGCTATGCTTGTGCGATTCCGCAAGGGCTCCACTCGGTGGGCACTGCGTTGGGGTCAGATTCCCAAAAGAATTGGAATTCTTGTGAATAAACTCCCCAACCCTCTTTACTTTCTTTGTCTTTCTTCCGGCTCCAATGTGACTAGATTTTTCTGAGCCCACTCCATCGAGATCATGCTAGCACCGATGCTTGTTTCCCGTTAGTTGGGCCATACGCCTAGATTGTCACGGTCCAACCATAGGCCCATGTGTAGCAAGTTACTGCTATTGGTTGGGCTGTTCATGCTTGAACTTAGATCCACGTTATCTGAACTTAATTTTTTGGGCCTGAAGATCTAAATTTAATTTAACTGGTTAAAATTAAACATTTTTAATTCTAAATTTATTAAAAACAATCCGTTATAATTACCTTTATTTTATATTGTCATTTATCGAAACGTTTTAAAAATGTAACAAATTAATCACTTCAAATTTGAACCCTTCAATTTTTTACAGAAATCAAATTCATTTTTTTTTGGTATAACAAGTTTTTTTAACACGTGCAAAGAACATGGCATGGTCGTTGGGGTTCATAGAATTGAAAGCAGAGTAGCGTTGGGTGTGAAGGGCACTAATGGGCCCCCAGGACTACGACTAATTTCAAGGCTTCATATTTTGGGAGAAGGGCAATGAGGGTTTTAGCGGGGGAAGAAAATAGGGCGAGGGAATTGAGCCCTCGCTGCTCTTATTATTTTCCTTTTTTCCCCTTCTCACTGCCCTTCGCCTTTTTTTGGGAGAATCTCACGTAGGGTTTTTAAAATATAAAAATTTGTAGACGCAATATAGGTTTGAGGGATCTTCTTACAAATTTTGCTGGACGAAATGACACATTTACTTTTATTTTAATAGAATGTTCACATACATAATACAATATTTATAAATGTACAATACATCTGATTGACATTAACTTAAGTATGTTATTTTTAATGAAATTTGTTGTTCATTATGAACTTAATGTTGTGCAAATGTTGCAAGTCTATATATAACACAATATCGTGTCATGCATTTATGGACCATGTGTTATTCGTCATTTAATTGCTTATACATTTAACTTTAAGTTAAATCATATTTATTAAATGTGTTGTGTATTTATAAACATTATATTAAATATTCGTGAACATCATATTATACATATACAGACATTCTGTTACAACAAAGACAAATGCGTCTTTTTATCCATAACAAGGTTTGCAAAAAAAGTCCTTAGGCTACAGTGCATTTTTCATATTTTATTGGACTTTAAATGTAATTTTTTGTGTTCTAGAAGTCTTAAGTGAGATTCTCCCTTTTTCTTTTTGGTTACCACGTGGGACGAACCAATTAAGGCTGTCGGCTTGTTCTCAAATATTTACCAGTTAAAAGAATTATGGCCAAACGAAACAAATTAGAATAAATTTCTGTTATAAAAAAATAGTAAAATGAGAAGGAGATTGATTATTTATATCATTAAACATATATTTAATCAATGGACCAGCCCAATATATTTTTATATTAAATGAATGATAGATATGAGAATATTTGATGGTTCATCTTAATTAAAAAGGAGGCAGCTACAATATATTTTTTATTAAAATATTTTTTTTTATTATGAAAACAAGGGAGACAATATCGTAACTTGAGGCTTGAGCATTGAAAAGTGAAGAGTTGAATGCAAAGGAATGGCAAACAGGAGATATAGGACAATGAACGACGCGGGCACCAAGTGCAGGCCACAAGAATTCACGGTTAATTAAGGTGGAAAAATATAGGAAAATGACAGATAAGGACCTTATAAAAATATTAATATTAAATTAAAAATTTTAATATTAAAACATGATAAAAGGAGTGTTGAAATTTAAAAATATCAATATTAAAAAAAATTAATTTAACATTAATATTCTTATAAAATTTTTATTTGTCGTTCTTCCAAAGAATATTGGCCAGGCCGACACGACCGGGCGTGTTGCTGCTGTATCTTCCGTATGCCGAACACTCACTAGTTACTACAAGCCCACGACAGCACGCGGAAGCATGTTCTTCTTTGCAACTCATAACTCGTGAAAAAAGCAAAGTCGGGACCAAAATCCTAAAAAGCTATATATCTTCATCAATTTCAAATTACGGTCTTTGATCACCTTCATCACATGCTTTTCATTCTATTTTGTTACATGCACCGCCAAATGTTATCAAATTAATAGCCATTTATTTGTTTAATATCCTTTTTTAAAATCGCGAGGAAGTATAATGTTGGTGAAGAATGTTCCACGGGAAAAAATGCCGCATTGTGATTGCTGCCCCTTGAAACAAGTGAAGGAAAAGATTCTGGTCCATGTTCTTCCTCAACCTCTCAGACCGGCCCAAGTGTTATCAGTGACAAATCAAGATGCATGCATCTTTGTCCGAAACATATGTCGAGGTGTCAGCATCCCGGCCAAGGCAACCTAAAAAGGATGGTTATTTTTGAGAACTCAATCACGCATCAGTTCATCAACGGAAAAATTGGTTCATGAATGTCAGAGGAAAGCACACCTTATCCCAACATGAGTATCCACTTTGTCCACTTTTTGTTTACACAAGCATTGACAAGCGAGGATCTGGCCGTACTTAAATATTATTTCAAGGAGGTTTCCTCACTTGAAGCACGAGCTAAGCCGGCATGAATTGAACACGTTACGTATATTTATTAATGCAGAACGCCATGTTTATTGAGCTGGAAGGGGAGATGAAGGACAACATTAATTCCACATAGAGTAAATGCATTGAATTTAGAAAGCTGGGGAGGAATAATCCAGGGTGGTCTTACGAGACGGAGATGGTTTAGAGGGGTTTGGGTGCTGTGAAGAAGAATCATGTGGATGCATGTGGATTGAGTTGGAGAACATGCTCAAAGCAAGCGGCACCACCACACTCGCCTACACTTGTCCCTTTCTTATTCATCCATCCCATTCCCTTGGAGGCCTTCTCTGAAGTTGTGGTCTGTGGTCCCCACCTTCTAATTATCCTATACGCTCACCGCCCTACTGGATCATCCATATAAATAGACGCATCGCGCCTGTCATTCTCGCAACAGCAAACCAGAAAGAGTTTCCAAGCCGACGCCTCTCTAGAATTATGGGATTTTCTTCACAGCCTTTCCCTGTTTCCCTGTCTTTGAAAAACCAGCTTCGAGAAGCTAATCTAGAAGACAGAAACTCATCATATGGGCATCTGTGGAGAAAAGCTTTGGCCCGCCGAGGCTTGAAGCAGAAGGCGAGGAGCGGAACGCCGAGGAATGTTTTAATGAAGAGGAGGACTCGCGTGATAGAAGGTTCTAGAAGACGAGGAGCCATGGGGATTAAGACCAGGATCAGAACTCTGAAGAGGCTTATACCCAACAGCAACAGCGAGTCCACGGGGTTGGACGAGCTCTTCAGGGAGTCGGCCGATTACATTTTGACGTTGCAAATGAGAGTGAGAGTCATGCAGGTTATGGTTGACGTATTGACAGGTTGTGATGAGTGAATCTGAGTCATCTGTAAAGGCTGAATAGGTTTTGTTTTTTCCCCCTCGTGATTTTTAGGAGTGTGTAGAAGAAAACGATCGTTATGTTTAATTTCGCCTCCCATTGCCTTGATACTTGGAACAGCTTGGGGACCATTAATTTCAACAAGTCAATGTGTGAAAACATGAAACCAATACCGGTTTATTACAATTCCTTCTGTAATTCATATATCACTGTCACTATTAGTTGTATTTTCGTTGGGATTGAGCTTGAAGCTAGCTTCTTTGACATACTTGGAGATGCTTCTGGGACAAGTGTCAGGGAAAATAGATCATAGTCATGAATATAATTAATACGCTGCGTCTTTTATTCGAGAGGCAGTATATCAATTGACACTACAATTTCGCCATAATTGATTACCACAACGAACATAAAAGCTTCTACCTAATTAAGGAGGCTCGAAAGGCCAGGTTAGCAGGAAAAAAGAAGACGAAACGGAGAGCTCGCGTGTACATTCTCGGACCGTTATTAATTGTTGATCCAAATGTACGTAATTCCAGGCAACACATGATACGTGCCATGCGCAACCCAACCCGATACTCCCGTTTCGATCGTCGCTGCTGCGGCTTTAGCTTTTTCTTTCTATTTCTTTCAGAATAACCTGCCATCATATCTTAACTTCAATGACTCCTTTTTATTTCGTCACTAACGAGCATTTTTCCCCTCACGCTCGTTGAAATTCCGAGCAAGCCAAAACTTTTCAGAAACTCCTTTTTTTTTGGCGGTACAAAAATGGTGTGAAACTACAATTAATGCTTTGTGTGGCGCTGAACGAAAGTCAAGTTTTTTTTTTTTTTAATGAGTCATGTTTGAAGCTTGGGCATCATACGGTACGACCATGCATTTGGTTGAGAACAGGGTAATCCAAGAAAAGCCCAATGTGGTTGGGCCTAGTGAAGGATCTTTCCTAACGAAATTGATTCCATGGTTGCGCCATGGCACGGGCTCAATAGCCTATCCATTTTGTAAGTTCTAATATTTTCCTGGAGGGAAGGGGGCCGAACAAAAAGTGTTTGTTTTTTGAAAGAACTTTTGAACGGCAAATCTGGCCATTTGGTCCATCTAATGGAATGCAGGTGCTCTGTAATATATTATGTTTGAAATAAGTGGTTTTGAACTTGGAAGTATTGATGCTGCGTTCAAATCATAAGTGGGCCGAGATTCTGAAGCTTTCCTTGTTTAAGCTTCGAATTCTGCAAGTCCTCTTTCTTTGTTCTTTCTTTCCGGCCCCTTTCTTTTCTTTAAAAAAAAGGATCGATAACTATATTTAAAAGCTCAAAAGAGATTGATTTCTGAGTAATTCAACGACAGATTTAAGAGTAAGAGTTGGAGGAAAAAGCGGGGATCCAGCTATGAGGCATAATTGAGATTGGATTATCTAGTTGAGAAAACAACAAGCATTTCTGGTAAGAAATGGTAGGTCCAGAGCCCCCACGTAAAAGTGCTTCGTCCAAAATAGACAAATTAAAACCCTATGACCTACAAATGTTACTAATATTAAATTAAATTCAGCGTAAAGAGGAGTGGTGGCTAAATCTAAACTTAACAACGTAAGTGTTGCTGACAAGATCACATGATCGGATTCAGTAAAGTGTGTCGTTCATTTCACTAAAAGCCATAGATTTTGTAATCGTAGCATTTAAAGTGGGACACTGGCATCATGATCCCTTTAATGCTCGATGAGAAGTCAAACCAATCGAACGCCTTGTTTTCATCACAAGGTGGAGCAAAACAAAACACATCACGCACAAGCCCCATATTATTGCTTTCTTTATTTCCTGGCTATTATTATTTAGAATTATCAATCACAAAATCAAATGACATGTCTGTGTCCGCGGGATGATGGACGTGGTGTGGGCTAGGAAGAACAATTCTTGAATTAAAGTAATACTTGAACAACTCAACTATTGTGTATATGAAGTATCTTATCTGCGGATCAAATACGAACTATTATACATGTAAACGATATATATTTATACAATTTGCTTAATAATCGGTGAGAATCTTGCAGTCTGAAAATTACAACAGTGTCGGCACTCATCGCCAATTGAAGTACACACACATTACACGTACACAAGAAAGATATTCGCAGACCGTCACTCGTGCTTGGCCAAGGTATGGGCTGCCTCTTTTTTCATATTTTTATGCTACGTACTGATTTTCCTCATGCATACTCTCTTATAGCAATTCTGGAAGCTCTTTTCTTCGATTAAGAATTTACAAGTGAATTTCTGATTTTATTCCCCCTCCCTAAGCTATCTTATTAAGAAGAACAGATTGATGGTTCAGGTTAACTGGCCGGGGTACGATTATTTTACTGTTTTAACCTTTTATTTTTTAAAAAAAAAAAGTTTTTTACGGGTGTATCTGCAAAAAAGACGCGCAGAAAGATTTTGTGGTGGGGTAGTCAAGCTGGGTTCCATATATAATTATGAACGGTTAAAAAGTGGACCGTTTGATTAGGGATTTATATAAATAGCTTAGGATATTCGTCTTTTGCTATTTACTCCCACCCAGGAGTCACTCAGGCAGATGTATGCACGCATCGTATCCGTGCTGGGGATTGTGTGCAGGTTGAAGTTGAACATAGACACAAACCAACAACTAAAACTCAAATCTTGTTCTATTTTAATTTTAGGTCGACTGGGCATAACGCTCTCAGTCGAAAACTTGTTCTGTGTTTGGACTTCGAACGCCAAGTGGATGGTAATTCACCAGAAAGATGAATAATATATGAAGTATAATGCTTAATTGGGGGAGAGTAGTCTGTTGTAGATTCAGGATCACGAGTTGGCCGGAGCCCTAAAATTAAATGATGTCAACGTTCTAGAAGGTTTTTCCCACAGATCGAGCGAATCAATAAAGATTTGCTTAATTAATCATATTTAATCGAGGCATGAAAAGGATAAGTTCACTATTCCATGTGGGTCACCTGTCATAAAAAGCGACGGTCAGGTGGGGTAAGAAATCCATATCAAATATAGAATAAATCATGAGGCTTTCAACAACATGCAGCTTTAGCTTTCTAGCATTTTATATATATGACCCGCCGGCAATCATGGACTCACCTATTCCCCATCAATGCCAATCCAAAGCGCTCAATATTTTTTAGATGCACTCCCCCTATTCTGATTATTATAACTTCAAGAAAATGGTTTATATTCTTAAATTTTAAAAGGATTGGGTCTAAATGTTAAAATCACCCTTAGTTAGTTGATGGAAAAAAAAAAGAAAAGAAGCCTAAGCTTTGAATTAATTCTGTAAACAATCTACCATGTAATTCACATCTAAAATCATAATTAACAAGTTTTTTCAGAATATGACTTGCAGGAAGATCATGAGATAATACCCTTTTTATTGTTCTCTTCGCATAATGTAAATGCAAAAATCACTAAAAAGCAAGTCAACTTGGCCTTAACTCATTTAAGTAACTGGTTTTGCTAATTACCACCGACATGGGTAATTACTTGTTATAAGCTGCTGTCTTTCGTTGATTAAGTAGTAGCAGCTACTGTGTAGGTGTCTAGGTGATGTGAATGGAAGAAATAAATAAATAGTGGACTCGTGACTCCGGTCAATTCCGGGGCTCGGTGGATCCGTACAAACAGGGCTTCCAATGAAATACGGTGACGTTTCGCGACCAAACTCATTTTTGTGTCTTGTTTCTACGTTTTCCTTTCCGGTTTTGAGCTCCCACAAACTAATTCCAGAAGCAACAACCCCCCGTCAAAGTCAAATAAGCACAAACTTACATGTCACACTCTTGTTTTACTACTCTACTATTTGACGATAGGATTCAAGACCGCCCTTAATTCTGGCATATATATACAGAGAGTGAGAGAGCGCAGAATTCAGCATAAAGTTGAGGTTTTACACTGGTCATAATTTCTTACCATTGTTCTTTTTTTTACTAAAATGTTCTACACAAAAAATGTCCGGAGATCAATGGAGAGAATTTAAGGTTAAAAATTAAAGTTGAATTAAAACAAATCAAGAATGTGCAATTCCCAATATGAGAGAACCCTGAAGCGTGTAAACCTCTCTTTCTTCACTAGCTAGTTCTTGATTTTGTCTCTGATCTGTCTACTTGTAAATTCACAAATGATCCAGCTCAGAAAATTTCAACTTTTCAAGTAATAAAAACTCATATAATGCGTGAATACTGTTTAAAAATTCAAAACAAACCATGCAGGGAAATGTTCTACCGGACAATTTATAAAAAAAAAAAAAAGCAGACACATTTTGAATAATCAAATTGGATCGAATTAGTTGTGCACCCAGAACAGGGACTTAAACAATGATGAATGATTATCGCAAATTTACAATGCAATAAATATAGTCGGGGCTCATGTTATCAAAAAAGTAAAAAGAAAAGAAAGTCGGGGCTCATGGAATAACTAAAAACTAAGAAATGGACATCCACCGTCCATGCCGAGAGTCGTGGCTCGTGGGCTGTGACTTGTAATAATCATATTTCCGCAAAGAGGAAAAGCTCTGTTCCATCCGTATAGTGTACGATGGGGCGAATGAAAAATGCAAGCAAAAAGAGGAACATGGGACATTGGTAAAGCGAAGTGAGAGGGAAGCTCTCGGGACGTATTTACACTGTAAGCGTAAGCGTAGTTGCTTGAGGATCGACATCTTGCACTTACGCGGAGCGTGTATTAGAGATACACTATGTTCATGTCATACGTTGTTGTGACAGTAAATTATTATATTCTTCAACTATCAATCTCTCAGAGGTACACCTGTTATGCCACTTGTTTTGGTTGAGAACTAGTTTGCCAGCTGGCAGCTTCGCGGCGTGACATTTTGACGGAATCATCGTTAAGTAACAAATTAAAAGAGCGAAAGATGAATAATGGAATGAGAAAGCGAAGAATGGATGCATGGGTAGGTATGTAGGTAGGCACAAAGGACTTACACGCAAAGGATGTCAGCACACGTCTCGTGTGCCATTCTTAGGCGCACGTGCATGAGCTTTTTACTTTCTCTTCGTATTATACCTTGGTTGCCTTTTAAATCAGAAGCCTACGACAGGCGTTTTGCTTCTCCGTGCCATGTGGGTTGCAGCCTCGGGGGATATCTGTTTGCTAAGAAAAGAAAAGGGAACAGGAGAGAGAGAGAGAGAGAGAGAGAGAGAGAGAGAGAGAGAGGCCCCGGGGGGGGGGAATTAAGAAGAATCATGGCCCTCCCCGGCCAAGTGTGCCCACTTGTGTTCCGAATCTTAGCCTCTTTGGATGCATACATCTATGTATATATGGTAGCTTTAACAACTAAATTCTTTTCTGAAAACCCTTGTACCTTGCTTCTTCTGCAACCTTCTCTCTGGTTTAATTTTTATATATCCATTCATCATTGTATTTTTAATTAATGAACCGTGTCTCTAAAATTTAAATCAATATAATATGTGATTCGCGTTAGTTCTGTAATTCCATTCCAAAAGGGCAAAGAAAAGAAAAGAAAAAATGTAACTCGCGAATCATATGCATGTTATGACCGCGTGATGCTTAAAGGCTGCACGCAGAAGGTAGCAGGGAAAAAGAGATTAACAAAAATGAGGAGGCGGTAGAATATAAATATGACTTTGGGCGGAAATTCTGCTGGAACAATATAATTTAGAATGAATACTATATACCGCTCACATTTATTTTAACGGAGTTATCATAACAATACCAATACGAAACCTGAACTTCTCGAGCGTAGCCGGAACCCAATTCACACCTGACACCGGTTAAAGCTGTAAAATTCTACGTATGGAAGCGCCAACCGTGGCCCGTGGCCCCTTCCTCATTCATTAGGTGCCCCTGCCCCGTCATGACCATGCTGTCCGTATCAGTCCATTACCTACAATTGCCGGTTACCTCACTGTTTAATTTGCTCGGGAAGCCCTCGATTATTAACCATCCCCCTCCTCTCAGATTTCTCTTCCTTTGCAAGCCCGAAACCTCTCTCTCTCTCCCCTCCCACCCATCAACCAGATCAACCCTACCTTTCTCCCTCCCCACCACCTTCTCCACTTCGCCAAGTTTCACTTTTCCTGGTCGAGGCGGAAGGATTTAGGCTCTGTCATGAGTGAGTAATCTGCAGGTTTATGGAGAAGAAAGAGATGGGTGTCAAGACGGAGGAAGCGATTCGATCCTCTTCGAATGGGGGTTACAATTCAAACAGCTTCCCCCTCTCGAGTTTATTTGATTTTCATGAAGTGGAAAAGAGCCCTTTAGGGTTTATGGAGCTTCTGCGTGTGCAGGAGCAGGAGTGTGGTTCCTGGCTAGATTTGCCCCCGCAACTATTTCCTTCTGACCTCAAAAATCAATGTGCCTCTGCAAAAAGGTACTGCGAGCTCAGTCACCAGCCTGCCACTCCAAACTCTTCATCCATTTCATCTGCGTCCAGTGAGGCGGTGAATGATGAACACACTAAAACTGTAGATCAACGAGGAGATGGAAAACCAAAGACCAATAATCAGTGGGTTTTCTATTCATCTCACTTTTTTCCCTTTCGATTTAATAGAAGGGATCATGGGATAAAAGAAGATAATTTGGGGCGGTCTTGTGTAATGTAGTACGTGTTTTTCCCTTTAAATTATTTTTTGCTTCGATTGCTGGAACCATATATATACATGTTCCGAAGTAATTAGGAAATAAGTGTGGTGTGCTTTAATTTTTGTTCTACAACGTAAATTGGTGTTACCGACATTCTAAGACCTGATGGTTTCTTGGATCTGGCTGGGTACAGGTTGAGAGCCAAGAAGACAAATCAGAAGAAACAGAGGGAACCGAGATTCGCGTTCATGACGAAAAGCGAGGTCGATCATCTGGATGATGGGTACAGATGGAGAAAGTACGGTCAAAAGGCCGTGAAGAACAGCCCCTTTCCCAGGTGATGCTTCAATTGCTGTTGTATTCCTCTTATTCTAACCCATTTGCACCTAGCTTCGCTTATTCTTTTCTTCGTAGTTCAGAACGAATTTTAAAGATAGCTCTTAATATTTTGAACAGAAACTACTATCGTTGCACCAGTGTTTCATGTAATGTAAAGAAACGAGTGGAACGATCCTTCACTGATCCAAGCACTGTCGTCACCACCTACGAAGGTCAACACACACATCCAAGCCCCCTCATGCCTCGTTCGACTCTCGCAGGAGCTTCTGTACCAGCGGTTGTCTCCGCCGGATGTGATTCACCTGTAACATCAGGAAATTTATCGCAACAGTATCATGAGCAGCTCCAACATCATGACCATCGTTTCCTAGCTAATACATTGTCGTCTTCGGGTTTTCCTCGCATTTGTGGTTCAAAAAATAATATCGTCGCTTTTCCTCAAGACAGAATGCCTTGCAATCCAGGGACCAATGCTTTTTTAAGGGACCATGGGCTTCTCCAAGATATTATTCCTTCCCATATGTTGAAAGAAGAGTAGAGAGACCATCAATCCTTAATCAACTGCGTGATTGTGTAATCTCTTTGTAATGATTACGATAATTTATAGTAGACTTAGATGTGAGCTCCACTCCTGCCAGTTAATTATATGTGAAACCCACTTTAACGTTTTGCACACATAGCCCTCGTGTTTATCCTTTACCGTATGCTGTAACTCGGATTTTTAACCAACGCAGGGACTACATCTGCTTCTTCTTGCAAGTTTCAATATATTCTTTTTTTAAAAGAAGAAGAAGAAGAAGAAAGTTTTCGGAGGCGGGGTTTGGGCTGTGCGGGAATGACAACATAGAAACAAAATAGTAAATAAGCTCCTGCCCGCTTTGAATCTTCTGACTCCTCCCTTGTCTTGTATTCTTGTTTCTTTTTGTTGAAGGAATGTACGTTGATTTCACTGTGGTACAGCAGTAAAGATTGTTAGGTTTAGGTTTATTGGCACGAGAACAATCGATGCGGAAACTTTCTTCCTTTGTTTTGTCCCGGAATCCACACTAAACTAATCCTAGGAAATTGTTTTCAATTTGGAGGATCTGATGGTGAAAGTAATTTCCCAATATGGGCGCCATGTTATAAATAGGAAGGTCGATTCAACCTCTACCACTCTATTTCGAGCTTGTTGAGTAAATGCCACTCTTTAACCTACACGCTATGCCATTCGTTAATGAATTCGATTCATTGAAGAGAGGCCAGAAAAGAGCAGCTGTGAGGGAGGTCGGCTAAAAAAAAAAAATAGAAAGAATTTAAGAGAGAGAGAGAGAGAGAGAGAGAGAGAGAGAGAGAAAGAAAAACCACGGCAGCGAGCACCGGCAGAGTACGCGGTTGGGTTTCTACGACGGACGAATAGATCCTAATAACGACATCTTTTAGCTTTTATTTAAGAAGACGCCAGAACATCTCGCATCAAGTTCTTCCTCATGTCGCCTTGTATTGTGCAGGTGAGACTATCATCGTACAGGAATAATTGAAGTTGATAGGATGGGCACAGACCAACGCATTGTGAAGCTTGAGGTTCAACTGATGGGACCCTTCTATTCCATTTACACGCGGACGACATCTTAGCACTGTTAACGCATACATTGCTCCCGACTTAAAATCCACCAATTGTTCCGCATAAAGTTGGAATTACCTCCTTCCTTTCTCTCCTTCTACTTGGGATTTGTTCACCCTCTCCTGTGGTTTTCAAAATCTACCTCATTATGTTCTTTCAAAATCATATCCCCGTGATAGTGATTTAAAAGAATACTTCCACGAATCTTCGCTCATAAAACCCCTTGGCCCACGTAAAAAAAAAAAAAAACGCCAAAGATTATTTAGGTGACAAGACGAATGGAATATGAAACATTGTCCTGCATAAGAGATCCCACTTCACTAGTAGCCCCACTTGCCACCCATAAAATCGAGATCCCTTTTTAAAAACAAAAGAACAAAATGCACGTAATGACTATCATCAATTCGCGCGTTGGTGCGTACATGTATGGGCATCAAGAAGATACGGTATTATAACATGCTTCAAGCTTTCTGTACAGTTCCTTGTCTCTGAAAAAAATGTACTATAAAAAAAATCAGCCGACCGTTTGTTGTCCAAAGCTCCGCCCACAACAGAAGACCCGCAAAATATCAATCTCCAACACAATGCTAGGAACACAACAATCCCCACAATTATATAATATTAATAGCCACTGCAAAGTATGCATGCAGCCGCAGCGGTCCACCGTTTGAAGGTTCAAATCTTCAGATACTGGAAACACAACAATTGTGAGTTCAGATTTTAGATCCTCGTTAAGACAAAGAGATGTGACATGTACTTGCTTCCCGCCCAATTACAACATGTTAACTGATACAACCAACCATGATAATCAAATCAATATATATAGTGCACTCCATTTAACGAAAAAAAAAATGGTAAAGTGACGGTTTTTTTATTAAAAAGAATTATCAGTAACTGAGTGACTTCAAAAAAATCAGGTATTAACCGTGAAGTAAATAACTCAGAATATATTTAATCAAAATTTTCTAAGATGTAAAAATTTAGCATCTGTAATGATATACTAAGCTCTTGATCCCAAAAATGTGATCTACTAAGCCAAGGGACTATAGCAGTACGTGAAGTCAGAAGAACACACCTGCTTTTAATTCCACTAGCATATCCCAAGATAGGTAGATTGCTAAATCCTAAGAATTATCACGATGATATGAATACCCCATCTTTGACCCCCCCCCCCAAAAAAAAGAAGAAGAAGAAGAAGAAAGATTTGAATATCCCATCAGACGTGTAGAAAGACAGTAGGATTCCTGCCAACAAAGAGACCCCATAGATAAATATGTCCCCTATGTCATATATACAAGGGGACAGTAACGGCCACGCAGGCAGGAAAGGTTAGCTCTGCAGTTAATGGACGATGCATCTGAGAATTCACCTGCTGTATTGAAGCAACTTGTCAGGAAGATAATGCCAATTGTGAATTTGGACAGCCATGATCCTCCTGCTCTTGTATTTTGTTCTCATAGAAGGCATATTGCTCAGGCTTCTCCCACTGCAGAAACATTCAGAGCAGGAATGACAAACCTTGTTTGCTAAAATTAGAAGGAAAAAAAAAAATGCAGGAACGGGCTCAAAACTCAAAAGGAAGAAACATTACCCTACTTTCACAAGTCACACAATTATAGTAGTACTTATAACCATCAGGACAGATATGTTCACTCCAGTCACACTCTGGATAAACTTCTTCGTCAGGACTTTCTGGCATCTCTGGTGAGGGGCTGCGAGCAACAGTACAAGGACTGCCTCCAGTCCGCGAAGGCTACAAGGAAGAATATAAAACTAAGAACGCTAATTCAGGCTGGCCAAATAAAAATGCAGATAGCCTAAACTGTCCTCGCTTCTGATCAAATTAATCCAGTTAATGCAGGGTAAAAAGATTTAATACTTCAGGCCAACACCAAGTGATGGCATGTTCAGCAGTTTATTTAACCTACAGTAACTTCAATACGGGCAAACCCCACCAAATTAAGGTTGATTTTTACTGAGACATCATCAATGATTAAAAGCAAGAAATCCAGAATCACCTCAAGGTTTTATCGAGGTACTGGTGCCTGGAACATGTTCAGAAATGCTCTAAAGTTAAGAACTTTAAAAGGCCTAAATTTGTCTTTTTGACGATAATTTCCCAGACAAACAAGGCAAAAAGTTTGAAGAAATATAAGAATTTCAAGTTAACACAAAATGTATTCAAGAGTACAGTAAGACAAATACCATTGCAGTTATGTAAGCCTACCTCTTAAGTAACTAAATTTATTTTGCAACCAGAACAAAAACCTGAATGAAAAGCTTCTAAATAATGATTGATTAATGTATTACCTGTTAGCCACTAACCTGTGAACTTAGCTGCTGCTCTATACTTTGAGTTGATGATTCTGTTGGATGCGACTGCTTCAGTACCTCAGTAACAACTGGTTGAGAAGGTAACTTCTGAGCCTGCATGGACTGGGAGGGCATTGGAGCCAATTGTGGATGGGCTTGCTTGGAAGGAAACGGTTGTTGAACCATAGTATTAGCAGGTTCCCAGTTTTGAACATGAGGAGCAACTTGTGGGTGTGGAATTGCGGGATGATGTGGGGCCATAGGCAGATTACTCCCTCCAATGGAATCACCAAAGTTCGATGACGGCCTGTACTCATTAAGCAGAAACTTATTGAGCTTTCTTGCATATAGTTTCAAAAATTGTGTGTCTCTGTGTGTGTGTGTGTGTGAGAGAGAGAGAGAGAGAGAGAGAGAGAGAATATGAAACAAAACCAACCAGACTGCTGGTTCTTGAGTGCATGGACCAAATGCATTCCCAGGCATATGGTTGACCCTACAGAGAGTGAGACAGTAGCAATACGAACATAAATTCCTTGATTACAAATGTTCATTAACAAAATTACTGACGTACATTGAGTAACTGAAAGTATGCACCAGTAAGCCTTGATAAGGCTTATGTACACAAAGGTAATTTGCCAATCAATTACCAAAACAGAAGACGGTTCAGACAAAATATGAATTCAGTAACAAGTAATTGAAATTCATTCATTAGAAATGCCACAACAGAGTTGTATCTGAAACTAAAAGGGAAAAGAGGCAGAAACCTGGGTTCCCCAGTCTTAGGTTTCTTAGGTTCAGCAAAACGAACAATTAATGGATGATCACAACCCTGATTGATTAAGAAGATTTAATGAGCCTTCATGAGAGCCCATCAAGTAATATATATCAATTAAACGAAGAGGGAAAAAAGAAGAAGAGATTTACCCTCATTGTGAATGCATTGTTCAGCCCTTTGATTGCTGCCAAAGCCATATCTTTGTTTGAAAATTTGACGAAACAATATCCTTGAAATTCAAAAAAGATATACATGTGACAAGTTGTCAGGAAAAAATATATAACAAAACTATGAATAATAAATTGATGAAGTAGGAAATACTAATCAAAATCAAGATAACAACATGTTCCTATGCTAAAAGTATATAGCCTATATTGGATTATTATTCATGGTGAACGATCATCTCTTTCCCCTCAAAACATTTTGATCAGTTTTCATGGTGGGGCATGTTCCAAGCCAATGGCTTAGTTATACTTATTACTTCCAAGAGCTTGATTTTCAAAGAGAAAAGTTAGCTATATGTGAAATCCGAAAGAAGAAAAGGCAGTTGCCTATCTCACTCTAACATCAACTACTTCACACAGTACCCAGCCAACCATCCCTGGACACTTAGGGGCTTTAGCTGAGAAAATAAAAATGATAGAGGATCAAAGACACATATATAAAATGCCTTCAGATGCAACACCCCACTGTCTCATATAGTTTAATTGTTCAAGTCATCAGGAGTGCAAATTCTTTCAATTATATGGGGGAGAAATAACTAAATTCCATCTAATAATACTCTAGAACATTTTTCAAGGAAGAAAAGGAGGAAGCAACAGAGTGATCAAGCAACATAGCTCCATACGCTCTTAAATTCCACAAATATGTTTTTTTTTTGGGGGGAAAAAAAAGAAGATTGTGAACCAACCACGAGTTTGTGCAATGAAGATGTCCTCCACGTGTCCATAAGGAGAAAATACCTGCAGAAAATATGCATACAAAGAATTACAAAATGGAACCTAAGAGATCAGAGGCACCGTAGTATGTAAGTGGATTGCGAAGAACATTTCACAGTTTAATAAAAATAAACAGCTAGGAGATTGAAGAATAACATTAACAGTGCAAAAAATTTCGAACCAATTCTGAGTTGCAGAAGATTAGAAAAAAGCACACATTAGAAACAAACAATTTCAGCTAGATATTTCTGCATAACATTATGAACAGCTTCCACTTGGTGCCCAAAATTTTTGCTGTTAAACACTATCATTACTTATTTATTTGCTAGAAGGAGCCATATGAACTCATTAGATGCCAACCAACCAAGAGGGAGGATCTAATGCATTTCTAAAATCAGCACATTCTGAAGTTCAAGAAAAACACTTGGATACAGGCATTAACATGAAAAGGACATTAAAGTAGCTTAAAGCTTAGATGATGAAAAAAATATATGCAAAGATTTAGTGGATTGAATGTTAAGACATACTTCTTCAATTTCCCTTTTTGAAGCTTCTTTGTTGATGTAACCAACAAATACTTTGTCCACCACCTCTAAGAAATATCAAAGGACAAGAGTGAGCTAGGAAATACACAAACACACAAAGAGTACAAGTAAATAACAAGAATATCGAAAATAATATATTCAGAAACAGATAGATCATCAGTATGGCCATAAAAGGTTGTAGGCTATCCTGAGTGCAAGAAAAAGCTTGCCTTCTGGGGGATTTTTTTTATCCATAATTTGGGAGAACCCTCGAATCCCTGCCAAAAGAATAACAATGCAAAATTTAACACCAAGAGACCTTATTGCTCGCTGAAGAAGCTGCACTGTAATCCATGAGATGCTGATAACATTCATCAATCTCCTTTTCTTTGCTTTCAAAAAAATATATATGTGAGTGCGACAGTATTTCTGGTGTCTCTTGAGTGTTTCATCAATAAAACCTAAAATTTGAACATCTTGATACGTATCCTGAAATTTTCAAAATAAAGCTAATATTCTCCATGAATCAATACATATTAATTATTAGATTGAAGTTGCTACTTCCTAATAGTGTGATTGCAATTTGATGTCCTTTTCATTTTCCTCGGAAAAGCTATGCATCCTGCTTCATTTACAGAGAAGAAAGACATTCATCATTCACAAGATTTATCTGTAAAAATTCACTCATGCTTAAAATAACTATGATTAAAAAACAATCAGTATTTCTGCATTCACATCGTTCATTTCTCGCTTTCTAGCTTTACTCTGCAGTAGATTGTATTAGGCCATAGTGAAGGCCAGAATCACCATCAATCAGCAACCATGAGCAACAATGAACAAAGCAGCTTGACATTTCTTTGTAAAGGTTAGAGCAGGTTTAGCAAGCCAGAGAGAAGGCTGGTGAGTAAATGGAAAAAACTCAGCAGATCTAGCAGCAAGCTATTTCAAAGATATAGTCACTGTTCTAAGAATCTTCAAAACCTAAACTGAGAGCTTATAACTATCCCAGAAGGTACAGATGGTGTACAGTGTCATCATAAACATGGTATCCCATAAAAATAACCAAATGGAGCAAAGCTTGGGTTGGTTTGTCAGGAAATTGTTGCATATATTCAGCTTAAAGCATGTATTTGGTTCAGACGTATTGAAATGCTATTACAAGAATAAGGTCAAAAGGAAATTCTTAAAGTATTACCAAGACGCCCTTTTTCTCGGTCAGCAAATCTGACAACAATGGATGATGATTCCTATGAAAATTAAATATGTCAAACCCAAAAAAAAAAAAAAATCGTTTAAACTGATAGAATTGGTGGCAGCAATAAAGGGTTAATTTAATACATTCCGCAAAAAGTTGTACTCACCCCTGGAAAAGTATATCGATTGCTTAAAGCTTTGATAGCCCTCTCAGCTTCATCTAACGTTGCAAATTTCACAAAACAACTCCCTGCATAAGTTAAACAAAAATTTAACTAATGTGATTACTTACGGACACGCCATGCTACATACATTCAAGGAAGCACAAGGTTAAACTCATAATCCTGGAAACCCCTAAGGAAGTTAAAAGATATTGAACTTAACAATACTGATGCAGATACAGTAAATAATTGCAAAATAGCAAACTAGTACCTTGTCTTTCGCCTGTTTTCTTATCCTTCAAAAGAACAACTTCAACAATAGTTCCATGTTCTTCAAACACAAGGCGGATCTGATTTAAACAAGCCAAACACACACACACACACACAAAACAGTGAGATGTGATCAACAGTAATGACTATTGTAGAAATGACTCTATTATCAAAGAAAATAACAAAACCAACATGGTTATGCATTTTTCTTGAGGAAGCATGATTCAAATTTCTTTCTTTCTTTCTTTCTTTTTTTTTGGGGGGGGGGGTTCATCTTGCTACGGAAGGAAGAGGGGGAGAAGAATCTACCGAACCTTTGTACTGGACAAAGACATATAATAATTTGAGAACATTTCTCATTCTAGTTCATTTTTTGAGGATAGCAAATGGATTGTCCCTCTATTTTCCAGTGTTTGGTTGTATTAGTATATAAAGAATAAAATTGGTCAACGACAAACTGTTTTGCATTTGGCACGTGTGATTTTCATGATATGGAATCAATATTCAATATTGAAGCTAAATGATGATAATAAGGGCATACAACCAATATCTAGATTAGATTTTAGAGTAGGTTGCCATCAATCACCATTTCTACATTCTAAGAGCAAATGTCAGTCCCAGTCTATGCAAGATCAAGACCTAGAATGGAATTGTGATTACAAGGCTTCTTTCACAGCAAATATGGGAACTTTCAAGATAAAAATTAGGCATAGGAATAGTTCCCATGGACCACAAACAAAAATGGAACTAACATTTGCCAAAACTATTCTTGCATTCAACATTCCATATGCAACCTGCGTATGATTTCTGGAAGGAAAAAGACTTACATCAGATTCTGTTGATGTTCTTGGAACTGGAGCAACATAAAGTTTCACATTATAAGCACCATCAACTTGGTCTGAAAATTATTGGGGGGGAAAGAGTCTAGTGATGCAAACAAAATTACATAAAAATGTACAAACAACAATAACAACAAGCTTTATTCCACCAAGTGAGATCGGCTATATGGATTACACAACGCCATAGTATTATATCATTCACCAAACCTTTAGAAATGTTGTTAACAAAGAAGTCTTAGTTAATAACTTTCATAAGTGTTCTTCTTGGCCATCCTCTGTCCCTCTTAACAAGGCTCATAATTATTCGTTCTACTTTCCTCACTAATGTCTTTCACAATTTTTTTTGTACATGTCTAAACCATCTTAAATAATTTTTAACATTTTTCTCTTAACAGGTGATATGCCCACTTTTATAGAATGGATAAACTTAAAGGAAAGTTTTTTTGAACTGTTATAAGACTTTGACAAAAATGTATAATCCATTCTAAAAAACCAAATTCGTCTAGAGTAGCAAGATAAACACAAAAGTGATGTGTAACATAAAATTGTAGGCCAAATTCAAAATCCTTATCACCTGATTAGAATGCAACTACATAAAAAAGAACCTGAGTTTTTTCTTTTATTTCTTTGGTTGGGAGGGGGTGCTTCTAACCAAAGAGTGATAAAAAAGAAACCTATCAAACCCAAGGTCCAAAAGCTACAACAGTATGCTGACTATCCGTTGTCGTTGAGTACAGTTATCTCATCATCATGTTATACAAAAATGAGGAGGTCCTAATGTGCCTAGTGCCTAAAAATACAATGGAATTCAGTAGCGATAACGTCAAGAAGTCATTGTCATCTTCCCTCAAATTAGACTCCCTACCTGACTTAAGGTCGTAGCAGTGGAGTAAGAGGAAGTGAAAGAGATCGTAGATATCAGACCATGAAGAGGGGGGGGGCAGACGAGAGAGAGCTGGTGCCAAAATGCGTTCCAATTCAAAAGTACAAAAGCTATTATATGTGACGACAATATACACCATAATCGCCCTGAGTGATTCCGGGTTTCAATTATGTACTTGGCCGGGACTTTTACAAAAGTGAAAAGAAGAAGAAGAAGAATGTCATTCTAATGAAATGAGTGGCAAAGAAATGTGCTCGTACCTGGAGAAGTTCCTTGGTTAGAGAGATGCCAACCTCGTTTCCGCCCCGGACGAGGCATGGAATGGCTAAAACCATATCCAGAGTTGCCATTGGTGGAGGGAGGTCCTCCAGGACCGAACGAGTTGTTAGAGTCGCCATTGATGTGATTATAGTGGTTGTAAGGTAGATTATGGTTAGCAAAACCATTGGCAGGACAAGGGACCTGAGGGTAAGTGAAGTTACCGGAGAGGTGAGGATCATGACCGTTCGGCTGTTGAAAGTTGCAGGGGTTGAAAAATGGTTCATGGATATGAGGGTGTATCGGATGACTGGGATGGGGAGGGGGAGGGGGGAGGCCGTTGCCGGTGACTCTTTGATCCGGGAGGTTATTAAGATTCTCCAGCTTTGTAAACTGTGAAATAAGGAAACACTTGACCTTAGAGACGATATGGCCCCAGAAAGAGGAAACTAACGGGAGTTTGCCTTTGCGGTGCTAGATTCGCCTCAGCTAACAAGGGTTCACGATTCAGACTTGCTTCAGTGGAAACTTTCAGGGGAATCGTGACCTGGATTCTGGAAATTTATACCGCGCAGCTTGCCATTGATATTTTTAGGGGAAAAAAAACCAAGATATTTTTATACAGAAGCAATCTAAAATTTAAATTTTACAAAAGATATAACTTTAACTTTTTATATTTTATTCGTATTTTATTTTTATTTTTTATTTTTTTTAACCTTTATTTTATTTTTTTAATGTTTTATATTCTTTTTAAATTTTTATACTTTATTTATGTATTAACTTAAAATATTAAAAAATAAAAATATCAGAATTTAAAAAATAAAAAAATATAAAAATTTATAATAAAATATTAATAAAGTGTAAAGATTTAAAGTTATATTTTTTAAAAAATTTTATTCAAATTTAAATTTTAGGAACCAAGGTCAAAAGAATTTTACTCACTAAAGTTAAATTCAAATTTAAGGAGGGTCAAAATTTTGTTTGAATTTTATTAAAGGTATAGATTGGATTATGCTAAAAATAAATTTAAAATATTATGTGAAAGTTTTTGGGGAAAATGATAATGTAGTTCCTCTAATTTTTATAAATAATAATATAATATATTAAAAATATTATAATTTTATTAAAGTTTTTAAAAATTTTTCTGTTAATAAATTTTAAAGTAAAATGATCATTTTATTCTTATTAAAAATAATAATTCATGATTACAACTTTTACTTAAAAAATAATAATATTTTTTAACAAATTGCAACGATTAAATAAAAAAATCACAACTTATCAAATGTAATTTTTGTTATTAAAAAATAAGTCTTGATCATAATTTTTATTTAAAAAATAATAATTTTTATTATGTAAATTATAAGAGTTGAATAAAAAATCATAACTTATTAGATGTAATTTTTATTATTAAAAAATAAATTCTCAAAATAATAAATCTCAATTACAACTTTTATTTAAGAAAAAATAATTTTTATTCTAAGAATTACAAATATTAAATAAGAAATCACAACTTATTAATAATAGTTAAATAATTTTTTTTAATTTAAAATTTATTAATAGAAAATTCTCTAAGAACTTATGTAGAATTATAATATTTTGAGAGATCAAATTATTATTTATATAATTTAAAAATATTTTATTATCATTTTCTCAAATTTTTACCTCAATGTTTCAGATATTAAAAAAATAAAAATAAAGTCATGATGTGTCTGTCAAAATCTCATCATACCTGGCTTGATTTTGGTGAAAATAAACGCTAAACTACATAATATTACCTTAAATTTCGCATCACATACACATAACCTTCTTAACACTTAACCCTTTACATTGAACCCTCCTAACTCTTATATTTACACAAATAATTTTATATAATTAATTTTATACATCAATTATTTATACATAATTCAATGTTTAGAGAGATTATCTATATGTCAATCATAGTTTAAGACTTAAATACATACAAAAAATAAAATTTAAGGGGGCATAAATTTGAAAGCTAAAAAAAATTATTATTAAATTTTAAAAGTTAAATAAGTTATTTATACATAATTTAAAATTTAAGAAAATTTTGTATAATTTAACCAAAAATAAATGGCTTAATGGTGTGCCAGGCCAAAAACATTTCTTGGGTCTGTGAAAACATGTTTTTACTTTATAATAATCACAAATAAAGCATGAACAATTTAACAATAAACCACATTTTTTCCAGCTAAATATAGAAAACAGAACACTTAACAAATTGCCACACTTAGACGATAATGAAAATTATAAAAAAAAAAAAAAGAAATCCATGATACAAATTTTTGACAAGATTATCAAAGTTACTTATGACTTGATCAAACGATCTGAATAAATAACGACACACAGTTACACGCACATTACTTTTTCAATGTGAGGCTTAGCATCTCAATATAATAAAGTTCGAACTAAGTTAAAAACAGATTGTTTGGTAAAAAAAAAAAAAGTTAAAAACAGATTGATGAAAAAAGCTAAATACGTCACTCACGAATTGTAAATGAATCATTCAGTCATTACTGCACACTGATTCTCTGTTATTCATAAAGTTGTAATTCTAAATATTAATATATTAGAACTTAAATATAATATGTAACTCTATTAGTATTTTTGCAAAATGTGAAATTAGACATAATAAATGCTTAAGTTGGCAGCAAGTCGGCAGCAGAATTGCGCATACAGTTTAATCGAGTGACTGAATAAATGTTTATAAAAATTAAAAAATACTCATCCCGTCTCAAATTATAAAATATTTTTAAATAAAATATCATATATCAATAAAACTCATTAAATATATTTTATAACATTACTTTTTAAAGACAAAAATATAAATTTTTAAAAATATCTTTCATTTAATACTCTGTTAGATAAAAAAATATTAAAAAAAGAGAATATATAAGAATAATAATATTAGAAAAATATTATTAATAAAATTTTATTTTTATCAAAGTGTTTTATATTTTGGGATGCTGAATCTTTTTTAAAAATGTCTTATAATTTAAGATGGAGAGAGTATTTTGTAACCAAATGTAATGGGCTGGCAAAAAACTTCAGGCCCAAAACCAAGTTTCTGGGCTGGCAAAAGTTTTGCCTTTCGTTCCCACCACTGTGAGCCCGTGAGTGTCCTATCTGCATCGAACCTGAATCTTTTAAAATTAATATTTATAAATTTCTGCTAAGTTTCATTTTTGGGTATCTTTTTAATTTTATTATTCTTGATAAAATAAAAAGTCTTCTCCATCTTCCTTCAAAATTAAAAATACAAACTTCATAAAATTTACGAACTCCATGTTCGCGTGTGCATCTCTCCCCAAATGCCATATTTCTATGATTTCAACGTCATGTCGTTTTTCGTTTTTATGATTAGCAGGTGAAGCCCAAATCAAGATCTGAGTCAATTAGCCTGCCTTCACCACGGCCATATTCAGTGAAAGGATTGGCTCTTGTCGCTTTGCCGAGCCACCATCTTAGCATCTCAGGTGATAATTTGTTGTATTAAGGGAAAACATCTTTGCTGGCATCCATAATCAAGTGCTTAACATACTCTTGATTTCATGAAGCTTGTGGAAATAGGGGAGCTAGGGATCATCCAAGCCACTCAAAATTTCCAAGTCGAGCACTACAACACATTGGCTAGTCATAATACTTTTTTTAAAAAAAATTGGTATAAAAAATGGGTTCTAATAGAGATGGTGGTAAGAAATCTAAAAGATTGAATTGGATATTCAAACTCATCATCAATTCGATTACATTGGCTCAGCATGGAGATTAGAAGGGAGGCTGCAAACTTGTGGAAATATGCAAGATAAGTAAATTTTAGACAAAACTAAGAACCATTTTTTTAAGAGTACTAAGGGTACGTTTAGGTGGCTCACGTTTCACATCCCAAATATGATTTTTAACTTTTGGAATAAGAAATGTTGTTTGAGGCACATTTTTCAAATGAAATGTGCTTTTCAAAAGGACTTTTAAATGGGTCTCAAATTGAAAAAATAGAAAGCAACTTTTGATAGCTTTTGAAACACAAATCAGGCATGTAATTGGTACCTAACATTATAAAAGATCATGATACCCTCATATTTTTCCTTCTTCATGTGCAATCGATGCTGGCGTCTCTCATTCTGCTGCTTCTCACTCATTCATCCATTAATCGTCCGCCGCTCGTTCGTCAATTGTTTGTCGCTCATCCATCACTCCTCCTTCTCTCCTCCTTCTCTCCTCTGCCATCCAGTAATAGATCCTGAGCTCTTTATCTCTTCCCTTCCTCAAGCTCCATCAAATGCTCGATCTAATAGTCCAAATTCATGTGAGACGGCATTGTTCTATGCAACTCCTATACCTTTCCCTCCCAAAAATTCTCAGATCCACAGCTAGAAGATACACAAATCGATGAAGATGCAAAACTGAAACATTGAAATCTATCGATTCTATGAGTACGATATCAGTGGCTGCTCAATCGAGTCAGAAACTTGACAACGGCAACCAGTGACAAGTTAAGGGAGGAGTTTCGGGCTGAGAAGTGGAGAATGAGATGAACTGGTTTAAATATCGATGTGGTTTAAATCTCTCTCAGTCATTCCGGGCTCAACTTCTTCTCTGTTTTTGTGCTTCTTTGAGAGAAGGGGGAAAAGGAAACAGACATTAAAAAATAAAAAATAATTTGTTTTTAACTTTATTTGTGCGTTTTGGAATTTTGAATAGTGAATAATGCGAGGGCCAAGGAAAATTGCCACGATGATGAGGAGCTAGACTTGAGCCAGCCAGCTTGAAATGATGAGAAAATAAAACTCAAATGTAATTAAAATTACAGGACAATGAATTTTGTTATCTTATAGTTTTAATGTTATTATTCTTATAAGTATCGTGAGTTTGCATAAAAAACAAAGAAACCTCGTCTCCCATGTATTTATATCTCTTTAATCAATAAGAGTATAATTAAAAATTAAGATATTTTTTAATAAAATAAAACAACATAATAACTTTCATTAATTTACATGAAAAACATCTTAAACGCCCTATACAGAAGGGTAAAAGGAGAAGGCTCCAGCATGGCCATAGATATATCAGGTCTAACTGTTTGCATTGTTATATCATATGCGCATGAATAATAGAAATATATGTGTGTGTATCAACATAAATATATAATTAGAGATCAGATTGTATATTATAAATTGAACCATTAATTATGTAACTATTCAATATTAATGAATGTTTAACTATTTATTACATAATTTTTTCCAAAATTAAATTTTATATTTTTTCTTATTACTTAACATTTTAAATTTTATGTTATTCTATATTTGTTTCGCATTTTTTAAACATTGCTAATATATTGTATCTGTATAATAAAAATTATAAATTATCATAAATCAATATCCTTTTTGGTCATTACATATTAAAAAATACATTTTAAAAGCACAAATTTTTATTAATCCAAACAACTTTTAGTTTGTCAAAATGACTTTTGAAAAAATATATCCAAACACAAATTTCATTACAATAACTAACTTTCACCAAACTAACTT